GGCAAGAGCTTGAATACTTGGGTCATTTTGTCTCTCCGGAAGGCATTCGTCCGTTGGCGGACAAGATTCAAGCCATCCAGGAGTGGCCCGAGCCGAAGAATGTGACGGACGTCCGATCCTTCCTYGGCTTGGCCGGTTATTATCAGCGCTTCATCAAGGGTTACTCGAAGATCGCGGCCAACCTAAGCAAGTTACAAAGCGAGGAGCGGCCTTTTGACTTCGACGACAATGCGCGCCATTCTTTTGAGACACTCAAAGCGGCACTCTTGTCCGCCGAGGTGTTACATATTTACAACCCGCTTCTAGCTGCGCGCGTCACTACCGATGCATCGGTCTATGGCATTGGGGCCGTCCTTGAGCAGCACGATGGCACGGACTGGCACCCGGTCGAGTACTTTAGCAAGAAAGTACCTCCCGTGTATTCGATCGACGACGCACGRAAGAAGRWGCTTCTTGCCTTCGTCCACGCCCTCAAGCGTTGGCGACATTTCCTCCTTGGTCGGAAAGCATTCCGATGGGTAACGGATAACRATCCGTTGGTATTCTACAAGTCGCAAAACACGATTAACAGTACCATTGCCCGTTGGATGGCTTTCATCGACCAGTTTGACTTTTTCCCCGATCACATTCCCGGGAAGTCAAACCGTTTTGCGGACGCCCTCTCAYGGCGACCGGATCTTTGCACCGCAGTCTACTCTATCTTCGAGATCGACGACAACTTGTGGGAGAGCTTCATCCGCGGCTATCAAGCCGACCCCCACTTTCGCGACAAGTACGCGAATTGCTACTCTCCAAATCCAGTGCCTTCGCATTATCGGATCCAAGAGGGCTACTTGTGCATTCACGGGGTAAGGATCTTCTTTGTGTGCCGAATGATTCACACTTGCGCACACGGCTTCTTGGCGAGTTTCACAATGCGTCCGCCTCCGGACATTTTGGTGTCAACCGTACACTTGGCCGACTTCGCCAGCGGTTCTATTGGCCCGACCTTCTCAAGGACGCCACCCGCTATTGTGAGTCGTGCGAAGTCTGTCGGCGTTGCAAGGCACGCAACCATCGTCCGTTCGGCGAGCTACACCCATTTCCAGTGCCCCTTGGGCGACGGGAAGCAATTGCTATGGATATCACCGGCCCCTTCCCGAAGCACAAGACCGGCGTTGATGGGATCCTCACGGTCGTCGACCGCCTCACCAAGTACRCCATGTTTTTGCCTTGCCGCTATCACGCAAAGGCACCGGAGTTAGCCGAGGTCTTATACACCGGTTGGATTCGCTCCAAGGGCTACCCCAAGGAGATTGTTTGCGACCGAGACACCCGCTTTCTCTCTGACTTTTGGGTCGCCCTCGTCAAGCGATGGGGCTCATCCTTGAAGCCGAGTTCGGCTCGCCACCCACAAACCGATGGTCAAACGGAAAGGGCGCATCAGACCGCTCAAGTCCTTCTCCGCACTCTCATCCGTCCCGACCAGGTTGATTGGGTTGAACGCTTGCCAGACGTTGAGTTGGCTTACAACTCATCGATCCACCCGGCTATCGGGATGTCGTCGTTCGAGTTTGAGCATGGTTCACCCATCTCATCGCCGCTGGACGCTACTTTGTCGCGCACAGCCGAGAGCGACGACCATCTTGCGTTCCTTCGTCGCATGCAAGAGCTTCTTGTCAAGGCACGAGATCAGATGTCRAAGACGCAAATACGGATGAGCCGTCAAGCCAACCGCAATYGCCTTCCTTGCCCGTTCCGCGCCGRCGATCTGGTTTGGGTCTCCGCAGCGGAGTTCAGCCTTGAGCAAGACATCTCTCGCAAGCTCCTTCCCAAGTGGATGGGGCCTTGGCGCATTCTCTCTGCAGCTGGTGATGATCCCGAGGGGCCCTCATTCCGCATCGCGGTGCCACCTCACTTGCCCGTCCACACGGTGTTCCACTGTTCCAAACTCGCTCCTTTTGTTTCAGCGGAGTTCGACGAGTTTCCCGGTCAGAGGCCGGCTACATCATCACCAACCGGCGCCATGGCAACAAAGAAACAGAGTTTCTACTTCACTTTTCCTACTGCAGCCACAAGGCTGACCGTTGGCTGACGCGTTCGGAACTGCAGGCCACAGCCCCCGCCGTTCTCTCACGCTATCTTAGCAAAGGGAAGACTACGCAGAGCGCTCCAGCTCCTCGCCACCCTCGCTACATTCCGCCATCGGATCGGCAGCTTCACCCGGGCCCCGGCTCGTCTTCATAAGGAGGGGGGCATGTTACATGCTGGAAGCCTACACACGGGCCCCTCACGGGACCAGAGGTTGGAATAGGGCCCCCAGGTCGCATCACCGCAACCTGAAGGCCCTATGGCATTTTTACTTGGGTCTGCAGCAGAAAAATGCCAGCTTTAGATTATTTTTATAGTCTTTATTTTATTTATTTGCTGCTGTTTTTCTAACGGGTGTACTGTTGTCCGTTTTGTGGCCAGGTACACGCTTCTAGGGCCAGGGCCAGATTCAGGCCCAGAGGCTGAGCTCCTAAACACRTTTGGACCTTTTCTTTTGTTTTCGAACAGATTTTGACCTGTTCGAACCCAGGCCGACGTTGAGGCCGGGTACGTCTGCAGAGGACCGGTTTGAAGCCAGGTACCAGGAAGATTAATCCTGGACAGGGCCTGGACGTCCGGTAGGGACCCAGGCAGGCCGTTTTAGGCCAAGGACTGAACCAGTTTTCGAAGCCTGCGATCTGGACCGTGGATCGGAGTTTCGATCTGCACGGTCCAGAACGCAGGCCGTGGGTTTTCAGTCCTGGCCCAGCACTACTTAAGCTGGGCCATTGCCCAGTT